TTGTATACGCTGTCATTAGATAAATCATACATGACAATGACATTTGGACATTAAGTAAGATGTTGGTAATGGGATGTTATGCACAAATGTAATAACCAACAAAGGTGTGATAGAAGGGTATAATGCGATGATAAACCATCTTTGCAGTTGATATTTTAAAGAAACTAGCTTATTTTCACAGTCATGTCATTTCACTTTGGACTGCTTGTTAGTACAATCTAGACCCTTACAAGCTAAACTGCATACATTTCTTGTATGAGATGTATTCAAATTGTTCTTTAGTTACTTACAGATTTTAATTATACCTGGAGTCCTGCTCATTTGGGGCAAGAGTTTAACATGCAGCTTGCTTCTAACTATTATAGCAGATGTTGAGTAAAGTTAGGTTAGGTTTTTTAAACCAGGAGTTGCAGACATATACACAGGTGGATTACATAGATTTTACAAGTCATGCTGGTCTAAGGTCCATTATAATAGAACAAAATGTATGTTACTCACCTGATATAATATATCCGACCATCCGTTTGAAGCTTTGCCTCCCAACCATCCTCAAGCTCTGCATTTAGCTTGTGCACAACACTTTTGTCGCCGGACATAGTGTCGGATGTGTAGATGTGTCCGACAAGCAGCTACACCACCCAACTTGGAGGGGTCAGAAACAACTGCAAGCTACACGAGCCATCTCGTGTGTTTACCAACATTTCCCCAAAGGTCACCACGCGCGCTATAGCCGCCTATGAACCTGGACGTCCCATAGCCCAATGACCTGACTTTAATATTCATCTCATCGCAATGCACAGTCAAGACGAAGACACACTTCAGAATGTGCTGCTCCTCAGTACAACGTTTTAAGTTCTATCACCAATTCGTATCGATCTCCCCATATAATGGGTAGTCACTAGTCTGTGTATCAATACCATGGCATCAGTAGAGGGGGGGGGGGGGAGTCCTAGGAATACTTTCCAACCCCCCACAGAGGAAAGAAAAACCACGGGCGTTCACCCGCCATGATCAGAACGTTGCTTTAAAATCCAATTACCTCTATCACCAATTCGTATCGATCTCCCCATATAATGGGTAGTCACTAGTCTGTGTATCAATACCATGGCATCAGTAGAGGGGGGGGGGGGGGGGTCCTAGGAATACTTTCCAATCACCCACAGAGGAAAGAATAACCACGGGCGTTCAGCCGTCATGATCAGAACGTTGCTTTAAAATCCAATTACCCACTAGTATCGATGCTCGCATCTCTCAGAAACTCGCCCTGGGAGAAGATAAAAAAACAATACACTAATTACAGCATGTTATTATTTTATGAGTTCATTAGATAAGGAATGTTTTTCTTTCTCCTTTTTTTTTTCTTTTTAAGTTGAAACGACTCTGCATTATCAGCACAAAGCTTGTTCGCAAACGTTTTTTTTGAAAGGACACACACACAAAAAAAGACGATTAACGATTTTAAGTTTTTAACTTAGAATTGAAAACTCCTTTAGCGTGAATCACGGTACAACAATTTTAGCAGCGTTAGTCAAAGCACGTCAAGAATAACTTGGCTATCACAGTGCGACCTGTCAACGTTGTCCCTGAGTCTGCCTTGAGAGTTTATCGTTGCGGCCCCCCCCCCCACGTACCTCCAAGTGGAGTAGGGTTACCAAACAATAAATGTCACAAACACGTGTCAATATGTTTAGATTCGGTTGTGATTCCAGGCGGACATGAATAGTTTAGTATGACCATGGATTGCTCTTAAAACGTTACACGAGTTGGGCGAGAATCTGAAATAATTGTGGCCACGTAAAATGAGCCATCTCTCCCGTGTCTCCCACCAAAAGGCTCATGGCTATGATGTGAAGCTTTGAAGTTAAAACCCAATTACATCCACTCCCAAATAGGACAGTTTTGTAAGTAAGAGATTCCTTTACCAACAAAAAAAAAATGATGACCTAAACTTAATTAATTCCGGGTGTTGCTGAATTTTTTTATCAACTTCTCGCAGCAAATCATATTTGTAGATCTGATTTTTTTAATTTCGTTGGAGCAATGAAATTAGATCAAGAAATTGTGGCGGATGCCATTTGAGTTCAGGCACGTTAACAACATGTTCGCTTGTTAATTGTTAATAATTCAATACAATGTGAAATCACTTAAACATTGATCACTTATACATAGATTTGCAGTCATCGTTAATGAGTGTATTGACTGAAATCTAATTTCATCGTTTTTAAAAATGTTTAAATGTTTATAATGTTGCGATATAGTAAAGAGGACAAATTAAGCACACTTAGAAGTGGGCGAGCGTTTGTGTGTATTAAGTGGCATCGGGTCGGAGGCTTGATCATGGTTGAGAGGTGACAAACATTATTGAAATCGTCTGTCATCCACCAGGGTTCTCAATGCCACACGCTGATTTAAAACACATTTGAAGAGTGTGTGGAAAATATGGGCAAAATAATACAAGGTAATCGTGTTCTATTTTCAAACCGTGATAAAGGTCAGTTTGTGATAGTGGCGAAATCGAATCCTGTTGTCGAGGGATTTCATCAGAACCCGCTGGGATTACAAATTAACTAGATAAGGTGATCTGGTATCAGAGGAAAAAGGAAATGGTGTGAAGATAATGTAAAAAAAAATAAAAAATTCCTAATAGTAATAAAAGTGATTGACTATCGGCTTATATACCGTGTTTTCAAATGTCCACACAAAAGGCTATAGGCAATACAGTCTAGGATACTGTCATGGACCGACCACAAAACGTGACAACTTGTCGTCAAACTCACAGAAATCGTTGACTCTAAAGAAGGCGATCACAAATTTACTAAAGAATATCAATTTTTTTTTTTTTTACTAAGAAGTGAAACAGAGCGTTTGCATGTACTAACACAGTGAGTCAATTTCTTCGATCTGAATTTTGGACTCAATTATTTGAATCTTGCTTTATTTCTAGTGTGCACGTATGTATGTGAGTATAAATAGGTTATGGGGAGTTGCAAATACTCGCCCATCAAAAGTACAGTACATTTTCATCTCATTTTTATGTAACAACAAACAGGGGATAATGTCAAAAACAAAATGACAATGAGAAGAGCGTCGTATAGTGCCAGCTGTGGGACATTTAAAGCAGAATGTAAACAACGACAAGATACCTACACGCAGGTTTAATTCAGTCAATCCCATGGCGTGTCCACTATGTAACAATATTCCATAATATACCGCACTGGGGATACTTTCTCGGCAGCTTTCACTTAAATGTGTATCAGTTTTGTAAGTAATGTTAGGATCAACTAAAAGAGATAACGTTAAAAGTAGCAATGAAACTGCGTATATTTAAGTGATGAGATGCGCAAACAAAGTCGGTCAAAATATTAACAACTTCCTTCCACCCTGGCTAAATGACTAATTTTTTACATTTTAGAATCGAGATTGTGTAAAAAAATAATTATTACAACTCTTTTTGGCATCCCTGGTTGAAACATATTAAATGTCTGTAGGCCTATCAGTCAAATAATCCCGCAGTTTTATAACGTTAATTTTAAAGGATTTTAAATGCCCCTCACCCACCCCTCCACGGATCTAGATTTAGTGGATTTTGTATACCTCTGTGTAGTAACTACACCATTCAGTGGCAATTTCTTTTAAACACCCTGCTCCATCCCAACCCCCCCTCCCCCCGGGAAAAAAGGGGGAAGTGGGATTTGCAGATGACCTGACGTGGCAGCGTGGTAAATTTTAATACGTTTTCAGGTATATGTATGGAGTTACCCCAAGGCAGGTCACTTTTATATAATTTTAGTTAATTTACCAAGGTTAGGGAAGGACTGAAGCACTTTTATAAAGCCAATAAAAATTCATATGCATTGAGTTTCAGTCTGTCAAATGGCAGTTCTACTCATGTTGCATGATAAATATTTCTATCTTACCAGTCTAGCCATAAAATGATAAAGTTCAAGGGTAACTGAGCATAAGTTGCTGCATTGCAGTGCACTAACGTAGGTGGGGGGGGCCCCCCCCCCCTGTTCCAGGCTACACTTTTTGCCTTAATACTGAGGGGCGGCATTTTCGACCAACTGCATAGGGGTTTTCGTGAGGGGGGGGGGGGGTAGAAGCATATTATCTTAGCCTAACCCTAACACTAACCATAGCAGCTTCGCTATTCCTGCAGGGAAGTATTTCCAAGAGCCTGTTAAACTTTATCACGGAATATTTAGATTTTAATATTTTATTATAATTATAGTTAGTAGTAACTCAAAAAAATTTAACAAGCATTCCTTTTTTTGTCTGTTGTCGGCGGCGGGCAGTCCAACTAAAACTCTTTAAATTTTAATAATAGTAGGCCGATCACTATCACTGGCCTACTATTTAAATTACTATGTCGTACCACTATGTCAATACATTAATTACTGTCATTAGTGATTAGTCGGTAGCCAGAGTAGGTCTATCACTACTATCAGTATCAGTACTGCTACTCCACTACTAAACTTGATCAACTAGTACCTACTACTACTTATGACTCTTACTAGTCTTATCCTTATTGCCCTTACTTAGCCGTACTTACTTAACTAGTCTAGAAAGCTTACCGTTACAGTTGAAACTTACACAAATTTACTTACAATAATAAAACAAAATTAAAATTATTTAAAATCAATCAATATTCAAACTCAAACATGCTTAACTTAACTTACAGTCGCTAATTAGTAATAATTACTATTAGACTAACACCCTGTAATTTTACAATGACACAGAAAAGTCTTACCTCATATCATATTTAAAGTAACAGAAATAATAACGCCATCACAGTCCTTAAAAAACAGTAACACATTAGACAAATCGTTAGTGTTATGTGTTGCTCTACAGAGCACTCACTCATTCTCTCATATCCAAGGTAAACTGTGGACCCGCGGCGAATGTTCAGCGCAGACGTGAATTACGAACGTGATTATTGATGATGCAAAGTCACGTGATGCGCACAAATATGGCGCTTTCCCTGTGAACCAGATTAGGCAAAATAATAAACAATTTCTATTTTTATCCGTTGGTCGTAACAGACATTGGTCTATTATTTTAGGTAATTTTAATATTCAGTGACGATTTTGTAGCAAAAGTGATCAGCCCATTCCTATAGAACGGTACCAATAACTCTTCTTTCTTTTGTGTTTATTACCGAGATAACTAATGACTAATGACCGCCAATGGCCAATGACTCATTTAAACTATTTAATTAATACAATTAATTGATTGCAAGTAGAGTCTCCTATTATATTATTGATTGATATTGTTAATTTTTTATATTTATTCAAAGTCAACTAATTATTTTAATGATTCTCACTCAGCATTACATTGTTTATCAGGACCAAGTAGAGTAGTTCTTCACAACCATTGCCATTAGCTACCGGCTACCGGTACTAATAACTGCGAGTGAGTGTCCACTGTCTGCAAGCCCAAAAACATTACAATTACAAGCCTGCCTGTAATCTGACTCGGAGAAGTGCTAATATCAGAAATATCAATGGATAACAGTGAACTTAGCAATGTTCATTTGTCTAGTGATAGTGACCAAGGTAAGAAGTCTGTAACTGAAACTGTATCATTGCATACAATACAATGTTACTCAATGTAACAAAAGGCAAAGGAAAACAACCTTCAGCCTCCAATATTATCATAACTACTGACATTAAAACTAGGGTATGATCTGATAAACTAGACAGCAATGCTCTCCCAAATTTTGATAAAATAAAAATGATTAAAACTAAATGACTGACGAGGCTAAAACCTTCCTAATTCTGGTTTTAGTAAGTTGTAAGAAATGTAACTATTCTATTTCTATACATAATATTATTGTATTTAAATCCATACTTTGATTGTAAAATTTTGAGCATTGGGACATTTGAAAATGGCTCTTACTCATGGCATACAGTCCTTGATTAAGCCTGAAAATTTGTATTTCCCACTAAAAAATATCTGAGTCATTGTATATGCATGCACCTGTACCCCTCCCCAATGAAGGATGCATTCTCTGAACACCTGTACCAAATTCAAAACACTAGTAAAACGCATTGAATGAGCAGTTAGTTTGGCAGTAAATAATGTTTTGACCAAGTTCATGGTCAAATGTGATAGTCACTTAACAAGTACTGGTACTGTCCGAAAACATGTTCTATTACTATGCTGTCCCAACTTTCAACATGCTTGCATTTCATTTTGTAAACAAATAGAATATCATCATGACAATTTTCTTTGTGCTAAGCCCACCGCCCACAGTTTGCAAAAAATGACCCAGTGCGTACACTGCTTGTCTTATTTCACGAATGGCATTTCCATTGGTAACCATCAGATGACGCAGCACATCGGACTAAAGATATGGGACTTTGACATTTATGAGATGAGACAGTGATCAGCCAGCCACTCTAACCAAAGTATGCTGTTATATAGTGCCTTCAGCTTTGTGTCATAAGTTTGCAGAATTTTTCCTGCCAAAGCATTAATTGCAAAACGAACCAGTGGTTACTGGGTATTACAAGCAATTAGTCTGCAAGACAACTGCATTCATTCAGAGCCTTAGTTGTAAGCAATTACATCACCAATTATTGGTGCCATCTGGCACTTTCTAACAAAAAGTATACCATTTGACATTTGGACCGGCGTTCAGGGAATTGCCCAAATATCTATCTAAAGAAACATGAAAAAGACCAGAGAAAGAACTCCAGTTGTTCAATACTTTTTATTTTAGACTGGCTTGGGATACATTTTCTAATTGGATTTTTTAATTATGTCTGCTGAAATGAATATTTTATTGGAACAAAAGGGAAGGGAGAATTGTGTGTTTGTAGCTATGTATTTTGGATTGAACATAAAAATTCATCTAGATTTTTAAAAATTAGATATAGTAATTAAATTTTGATTCTATATTTTTTTTTTAAATCTGATGTTTCTTATTGAGATAAGAGAAATCAAAGAAATAACTACAAGAGTGTAAAGTAAGAAGATAGTAATATAAAAATGCAACCTAAAACTCTTACTTATTTACAAAATGAAAGGTTTTTCTTTGAGTACCAGTATCTTAAGTCTGTCCTTTTTTGTATTTTATTAATTTATAACATGACAATCTTTTCTCTATCGTATCCTATTGTTTCTCTTAAATCTTTCACCGCCTACAAATTGTTGTCTAAGTATCAAACCCGCTGCAAAAATAATAATGCTTTTCTCAATGGGAATTTTTTTTTTTCTTAAATTTTATTTAAAAAATCAAAGTACAAAGGAGCTGTAGAAATTATAAAATAAACTGGCGACTTTTTCCAGAAATTAAAAAATATTAATGGAGAAATAAAAATATACACCATATATTTATATCATAAATTAAAAGTCAATGTCTCTGTTCTAATAATCACTTTCCAATCTCACCCTTGAGCATCCTAGGTTGGGAAATCTTGATCTAGAGAAAGTATCAAAATCAGACTGCTATAGTATTTTTTACAAGACTAGTCCTTATAAAATCTGTTTTTCTTCATGTAGAAAGTCAATTAATATTTATTGAATGGACCTTAGCAGCCACCAGCTGGGATTGCATGAAGGGAGATTTGTACATGTGAACTTATTATCAGTATATTTTTTTTATAGTCTTTTTGATAACTTAAACCACAGCCACCCCACCCAATCAGTTTTTAAGAAAGGATTATCAAGTAATTAATTGTTCCTTTCCAAGCCTTTTTTAAGAGAAATATATGTAATAAAATTATTTTTTAAAAATCAAAAGCAAGTGTAGCATCAAATTGAATTTCCTTATTAAATACCATAAAATTCAACTTGATTTTAACCCACCAGGAGAGCATCATTCATTTAACTCACGTAATGAAAATAAAAATGAGCCCTACCTTGTCCCAATAAGTAAGTACCTTAGTCAAACAAATATTAACCAATGTATTATAAGGCATTAAATTTATATAAAATGACATTTAGCTTTTCGATTAAAAAATCTTATATTTGCTACTATTAACTACTAATAACAAAATTACACTATTTTGCTTTTTAAGCAAGAAAGTTTTTTTTTTTTTCTTCAGTTTTTTTCTTTTTCTTCAGTTTTTTTCCTGCTCTGTTTTGCTAATAATTGTTATTTTATGGAATAGGCCTTGACCCTGATGCTAATCCTGATGATGAAGAAGAAAAACAGAGACTAATAGCACAGGTTTTGGAGAGGCAAAATACTTTAGATGGTAGGATGTTTCTTTATTGAGATTAATTTTCTACTTACCATCTGCTTTAATTTGTTTTGAGTGAAATTCTGTTGTTGTAAAGGAATTTTGTTAACCTTTCACTTACATGTCTTAAGTTTAAATATTTCATGTTGAAAAAGAGACAAATAAAACACTTCATAAATTATACACCATTTAACGTTTTCTTTACAAATACTGATAACAAAATTTAACTTTTATTACTGTCAGATCTGTCTTCCCGAGTGGATTCCGTTAAAGTGGAAAACTTGAAGCTGAAATCAGAGAACCAAGTACTGGGCCAATACATTGAGAACCTAATGGCTGCTAGCAGTGTCTTCTCCTCAGCCTCTCCAAAATCAAAGAAAAAATAAAAACAGAGTTGAAAGCTCATAGAAAGAAAAAAAAAGAAAATCGCATTTAGTAACAGTAAATAATAGTTTTAACCATTGTTATAAAATTCATTATCTGTTGTAACTTTCTCTGTTTGAACTACAGCTAATAGTATTGATCATACTCATAGGTATGAAAAATTACAATTTTACTGCTCATCAACAGTTTCTCCTCTATTTTGTTTTCTCATTCGGTAATTTATTTTGTCTCAAAACTTGAAAAAAACACCAAATAAATTATTTTTATTGAGTATCAAAATTTGATATAATTTTTTTTTAATTACCCTACTGTATTCATAATACCAATATAATAATGTGAGGCGAGACACACTATGGAGAAGCAAATGAAAAAGTGCTAAGTTCACCTTAAATTTCAGTTCATACAAGTAAGGCTGCCGTTTATGTTACGGTACTAAATTAGTTTATAAGTATAAGATCTTTGTTGTTAACACTTACAATATAACTAGTTTTTTATTACTCACTTAACATCAGCATTTTAGATTGTGGTAAAGCTGAGAAAAAGTAAAAATTTACTGCTTTTTCCTTTTAAATTTATAATAGTAATCTTGGAATTAAAAGAAATCAATTTTGTAGTCACCATAACGATTTCTTGATTAATTGAATTTGATCAATTCCAATGTTTGCCCTAAATTTTGATATAGGTGTATAGCTTTTTGTTTGTGCTATTGAATGCTTTTTGAACGTGTAAATTTATTAATTCCCTAATTGTACACCAGCTGCTTATGCTATGATTTGTAATAATTGGTCTATGGATATGCATGTCAAGGCAGTAAGTGTAAGCACTTTCTCAAAGCTATTTATTTCCACTTTTGTACAAAGATATTTTAATAATCTTGGAAATCACCAAGAGAATTAATTTCAGTATTACACATTTCATGGCACCCATGTGGTTTTTTGTACCAAATATTTTTTAAATGTTTATTTCCTGTTTGTAAATTATATAACCGTAACTAACAAAATGTTAGATTTATAAATTTGTTTAATCGAATTTACCTTTAAATTATTTAAAAGTAATATTTTAAAATATTTTTTTATGTTTGTTTGCCATAAAATTATGATCGCTGTAATTAAGTTATATGTGATTCACTACTGTTTGTCTTTATTTTCATTATTTGCAGTAGTTAGGCGACACTAATTGTCAAATATTCATTCACTTCAGCTATCATTTATTTTTATCATCCATATTCAATTATTTTAATGAATTTTTAGGTACTTGAATATTTTGCAGACCATTCCACTTAAAATTAGATCTGTTTCCTCTGATGGATTGACTGTTTTACCATTAATTTAGCCCATCATATTGTCCAATCCCTTCTTAGTTCTAAGGCCTACTCTGATAAATATTATTGATCAGTGTTCAATCTGAAGTGAAAGTAATAACTAACTCATTTGGACTCTATAGTAATATTGTTGAAATCAAATTACTTAATTGGTATATATAGTAATACATGTTTTACTTCAATAAATTTGTACATTAGCTTGCTGTTTTAAAATAAGCGCAACTTGGAGAGACTTAATCTTTTTTTTCCTTTCTTTTGTGTTTTGACTTTATACTAGTCAATGTGGGCTTTGTGCAATATTTTTTTTTGAAGTACATATCTCAAATGTCAAAAGCTGTTTAGTAAAAAAAATCTCCACAGCTGAAAGTGTTGACCAGGAAAACACATTAATTTTTTTTATTGGGCTCAAGTTCTTGATGGGTTTAAAACTAGGGCGGCAAACCCAAAAGGCTTGGCAGGTTTTAATAGCGAGCAAACCATTCGCAGGATGCATGTCAATGTCATTAAACCTGATGTTAAAATATTAAAATAAGTACCCACTAAATCTGTATTGAAATATTTATCTATTTATCATGCATATAATGAAATGCTAAGTTACAAAACAGATAAAATAAGCTAATGTTATATTTTGTTTTCTCTCACATAATATTTTTAAAATTGATGTCTCTGTCAGTTTATTATATAGAATGAAAAAGTTCATTGTAATAAATCAGGCATCTGTGGGCTGTGGATTGGCCACCTCTGGTTTAAAAGAATTTGTCTTTGATTTGTACAGTTGTATTTTTGAAAACCATAAAAAGATTTGTGCAACTTAAATTAAGATGTTTTTGCATTTTTTGTAGAGAATCAAAAATTAATTTAGGAGCAGTTTTAACTATCACACTAATGCTTTCTAACTGTATAGTCAATAAAAATGTAAATGCATGAAAAGGTTTGAGTTTGTGTAAAATATTCTTTGCTAAAAATAATACAAGCAATTAACAATAACATATGCATTTGTTCAGGAATTTTAAACAATTTACTAGTAATCTTTATTTGTCAAGCACATACCATGCTCAACAAATGGGCAAGCACAATGGTTAAATCATTCAAACCAATCAAAAACACCACTTTACACTGAATAATGAGTGCTGCCATGTAAGTCAAAGTCCACCATTAATCTTGACAGCGACAGTGAAACATTTTACAACTTATTTTGTGCACTTCACTGTTATTGGGCACTGCAAATTTTTTTAAGAGCTAAGAACATAAATATACATGAAAAGGGGAAGTCTTGAAGAAAAAAAAATTCATTTAGTGTCCAACATATCACAGTTATTTATTACTTTACAAGGTTGCACATTTTCAGGAGAGATGCTTTAAAAATGTATAAGAAGCTAAAGTCGGTCATCAGTTTGCCATTATTATGCCTATCATTAAAACAACGGATAAATAGATTTTTTTCTTTTTTCAGGAATCATTTTCCAATAAATTCAGCTTTCTATAATTAAAAAAAGGATATCAACAAAATAACAAAGGCGGCAGCAGCATTTAGTTAAAAATATTCCAATGAATTGTTGGATGAAAGAATTAGTACCGGTATGCCTCAGCCAATATTTTATTAAAAGCCCATTTATATTTTACAGTATAAACACGCTTCTGTTCTACCTCAATGTATGAATTTTAAGGTTTTCTTATAATCCCAAAACTTTGGCCAAATAGTATGCATGATTTCTTTACAATCCTTGTGATCAATATGTACGGTACTTTAACAAATTTTGATTCCTAATTTCTTATTTAAACAAACTACTCAGTAAAATTTGATTTCCCTATGGCTAGTTAAAGTTATGATTATACCTGTATGAAATCATACCAGCTATAATGACTTTGAGAAAATTTTGGTTATCTATTACATTACAATCCCACATTATGACTACTTCATCATTGGCTTAAGGTCTGATGAGAGCCTCCACATTGCCCTTGGTATAAATACATCATCCAATGTTCACAAAAAGGGGAAAAAGACAAATGAATGGTCAAAAAAAGATGGATGTGTCTATGCAAATGCAAGAAGATTTAATAGAATCATCAAGGATTCTAATCTTTTTCTTATTAAGAGCTTTTTAAAAAAAAAACAATAACAATACTACAGGTTTGAATGACAATAAATGATAACCATCCTAAAACAGACAGTTCATGTTATATTTCTTTACACTGTTTAAGATTAAAATGCATACACCACAACTGAATCAAATAATGCATTTCTATTACTATTTATAACACATGATTCATATTAAAAATGAATTACTTAAATCATGAAACCCAAGTACTAGTAATTTTTGAAACCAAATACTGAACAATAAGAGTGACTTTTTATATCTAGATTTGCCATCAATTAAAATATACTTTGGTATGGGTTAGTTTATTTTATTGAATGTATTTCTTTATAAGAAGTTTCACTTTCACTACTTTCAGCAATAGAATAGAAGCTAATGAAAGTTTTGATATGGCCTTGGTGTCCAAGTTAATAAAAGATGGTGTGAAATATCCAACATAACTGCAAATTTAGACTCTGAAACTCACACATGAGGTAGCAATCATTTGGCACAATAATCAAAAATTGGAAGCAACAAAATAAATGAGACATGAACTAACATTTTAACACTTTTACTATGAAATACTAGTTTCTGACCTTTTAGTAGCAGTTACATACTATTCAAAACCACTTTAAGTTATGAAACGTTCCTATAGATTATGTATCAAATATGGTAAGTCCTTGAAATAAATAAAGATTGTCTGAAAAGGACTAACACTGATTTTCTACTTTCTTTGTACCGATAGTGTGTACTTAAGACCAACAAATACATATTTACAACACATACAGAAATTTTTAAATGAATCAATAATTCATTTGAGTAAAGCTATGCATTCTAAACAGCAATTAACCATGCTCACACATTTCCCACCCCAAACCCTTCATATTTGTCACAATTTTAACTGCGGTGCTTTCAATAAGCTTTCTCTTTTTCTTAATCTTGTGCTTGGGCTTGGCGAGTCATCGACAAGACAACTTCTTGTAATGCGCCTGTTAGGTGTAGTTTCTCTAGACTCAAGCAGTAGCATTCGCCTGGAGGCTGTGCTGCCTTCACTCGACTGTGGTGACTGAGATCTGTAACTTCTGTTTCCATCAAGTTTGTCCTCTGAAAGTTCTGATAAATCACATTTGGATGGTGTTCTAACCACCTCAGATAAATCACATTTTGAAGGTGTCTTTACAACTTCACACTGAATCGGGGATTTAGCTATCTCTACCAGATCTCCTTTTACTGGTGACCCATGTTGCTCCAGGAGTTCTGAATTTTCACTTACGTCTTCAAAAGACAGGGGTCTTACTAACTTATGAACATCACCAAAGACCTGTACTTCCCCCGAATCAACTTTTGGCGATGTTTTATTAGCATCACCAGAGTCAGATTTTCTGGGAATCCTATAGCTACTTAACGAGCTTGTGTGAGATCCAAAAGTGCTGCTTGTTATCACACCATGTTTCAAAGAAGATTTGCACAATGAGTTTTGTAGCCCTTCACAAGGTTCAGAAGAGCTGTTTATAGATGAGGACTGGTTTACACGAAGGGGACTGAGGTCAGATCTGGCAGGCTGCAAGCTTGACCGCTTGGAAGTTTCTAGGCTAATATCAGGCTTTGAGAACACATTTTCACTGCTACTAGTCCTTGTAAAAAATTTATCCAAAGTTGACTGATTGTTATCCTTGAATCCATTGCCTCCACCCCACCTGCCTTTTTGTTTCAGCCTCCTACTTAGCTTGTCACCAGCATCTTTCCTCAACTGATCTTTGATTATAAGTTTACTACTATCCAAGAGTGCATTTAACTCTGGTTTATTTGGTAAACTTGCTAGTTTAATGCCACCACGGCCTGCTGCATTTCTAGCATTCATGTTATCCAAGCCTCTCCGTTTTTGAGGTGAGCCTTCTATAAAATCATCAGAATCATCCTCGGTGGCAATTTTCATAGCATTACGCAATCGCCGAGGACGTGAAGATCTATCAATGACTTTAGGAGAACCAGATTTGGGTTGAAAATTTTCATCAGAGGTTTCACCAGATTCCGGCTCATTGTTCTGAGTTCTCCTCCTAATTATGGCTGGTTTAACCTCAACATTTATAACATTATTTTCAATGTGATTCACCTTTTCTGCAACTTCAGATTTAACTTCTTGAGACGATTTAGATTCCTCATTATCAGTCAATTTACTCTGTCTGGTCCTGGGACCAGGGCCAGGTGATGTGTCAACATTTTTTAATCGCCCTCTTAAATTTCTTTGTCTGCTTGGGAGCTCAGAGTCTGTTATAGCCGACGATGCCTCATATTTTAAGACGGCTGGGTCCAGAACACGATCAAATATATTTTTGTCATCCAATGGTGGTTTTTCTTTGTTGGCTTGCACAGCAGGATGTACCTCGTCTTCATCTTTCACTACAATATAACTTGCCAGGCCTTTAACTGGAGAATTCGCTTGCTTTTTTAATCGCAGTTTACTGCGCAATTTTGAGCTGTCCTCCACCTTGGGATTATCCAACACTATAGTTCTCTCTGTTACCAGTATTTTACCTGATGGTACATAAATGTCTCCGTCCAAAGTAGCATAAACGCTATCTGGTTTAACCCTAGGCGAAGGTGACAGCTCTAGCTTTTTTGATAATTTTGAAGATTTATCTGGAGTGGATGATTCTCGACTTCTTCTAGATTTCTTTTTCCTACCTTTATTCGATGAAGAATGTACATAGCATTTGGCTTTAAAATCAGCATCTGAGTGGATGCTTTTTGGACTAGACAGCAGATGGATGGTGTCTGAGTCATCAAGTTGATGACCCCCCTCTACATTTATAACATCACCGTTTGACATACTTGATTCAGTTTTAATGGTAACACTCGAATTTGACTGATCCGAAGGTGACATAACCAACCTCAATTTCTTAATTTTCGGTTGAGACCTGCTGTGCTTTCGCCTTTTAACTTTTTTATGTTCACGGTGACTTCCAGCCGATTTCTGCTGGGGTATTTCAGGGGAAGAGAGTAGATTTTTGTCCTGCATTCCAAACTGATCAAATAAATTTCTGGGCTGATCAGCTGGAGATGTCAGATTGGTGTTTGTATCAGATGTGAAGACTTCACTCTCGTCAACATCTGAATGTTCCACATCTATATGCAAGGTATCCAGAACAGGATCAAGTTTTTCTAACATGTTTTTTCCTTTTTGCTGCTGCATCTTTGTTTTGGACTGAAGGAACAATGAGAGCTTTTTGCCCAGGTCGCTGGTGGGAACGAAATTCTTTTTAGTAGGTGATACAGGTACTGTTTTAATAACTTCAGACCCACCAGTTCCTGACTGATCTTCGATCTCTTTTAATCGAACTTTGCCCAATCGGCTCATTTGTGAAGAGTGAGTTGTCTGTGCCAGCGATTCATCTTCACTGCTGTCAACTGTGGTATCACTCAACAATGCGAAACTATCCACTGAAAACAAACTATCACGGTGGTGAACCTCTGATTTACCATTGACAGATTCAGAATCCTGTGAGGACTCCACACCCTGGCGAAGGCCTTTCACTTCCTTGCCAAGATTAGAATGTCTTGAGACAAATTTCTCTTCTCGCTCTGGGATATGGTCCTCAGCACTGTCCGTGTAGTCTTTTGGAGTTTTTAGATTCTCTAGAGTAAAGAGATTTTCTCTAGGTTGTTTAAAGTTACGGGCCGTAAGAACTCCATAGTTGCTGTATAGGGAGCTGAAATGATAATCCTGGCGTATTTTTTCTGCTTCCCGAGCACCAAGGTTCAGATCTGGGTCAGTCAAAACTCGAACTTGGCAGCGGAAGACACTTTCCTTCAGTTTAAAAAATTGACGCTTTGTTTTTTCTCGTTTGCTAATCATGTAGCATAAATTACGTGCCTGGAAGAAATACAAAAAGAAAGCAATGTTTTATTAACCATGTTCAAATAATGTGTAATCAACTATGTTCAATTAAGGTGTAACGTTCAAGGAATAATATGTTGAAGAATTTTTACCACAAATCCTCTGCAAAGTTTGAAATTTTTTTTATAAAGGTTAAATTATTTATTTTTTTTAAAAAAAGACAAAAAAAAAAGAAGTATACAATTTTAATACTTTAAACTAGCAAACAACCGGAAAAACACCTCAGACATTTGCCCAGGCCGAATATCCCGTTTTTTTCTATTACTACTAATGTGGATTGGAATATTTATTTGCAAATTAAAGTTTTAGAAGAGATATTCAATAATTTTTCTTATTAAAATGGGTGGAATGGAATTTCCCACCAAATCCCTTAGAGAAAGAAAAAAACATTAGCTACTTAACACTAACTTTATATACATACTTAACATTAGCTGTGCACGCATTCTAACGTGTTTAAATCCTTTCCAAATAAATCAATCACAATTTTTAAATGAAAACAGCTTGTTTAAAGCCAAATTTTCGTCTAATTTGAGGGGTTTTCTTTTACACAGATCAAGAGTAATGTTTAAAAAAATGAATTCAGATGATGAAATTGAAAGCAATTTTAATGTAATTATAGATAATTAATCGGTTGATTATGCTAGTTGTAGTATTAATAATACGAATTCCTGTATTTAAATTAACAAAGTAGAGTCAATATAATCTGACGTTACAAAGCTATTAAGTTTACTGTCTAGTAATATTATTTTTCACCTTAACTTCATGTGGATAGAAGTTAGTTTTTTTTAAGACTCTATGTGCCATCTAAATAAAAAAATTTTAAAGTAGGGGCTTGCATAATAATTACGTTTAAGAAATTTTTTCATTACCGGTTAACGATGCATTATAGGCATAGTAATGCTATGCAACCATTTGGCAATCAAGCGCGTATAGTATCTGCTCATAACACCAGAAAACTTAGTAGTGCCCCTTTGACGGGATATTAGCATAGTTGTATCGGTGTGACCACAGTTAATTTTAAATATAATGATTTTAAGGATTTTGACATTTTTATTTTTAAAACATTTATTCAGTTAATTTTTATTATTAGATTAACATATTGCATTATATGTAAGCGTGACTTTAAATGTGGAACGCATTATACGCAGTAATTTAAGGTAAATTTCATTATGAATAATGTACAGATATTACTCGTAATGTGATCTGGCAAATAGTAATCCTAAAAAACTTGGATTCGTTACCCAGTGAAAACTTCTACCCCGATGTTCCTTACTTAAAAGCATTTTAGACAATTGTAATACCAGAACAAATAGTTTTGAGACAAAAGCTTAAGAACTTAAGGGATACAATGAACAAAATATTTGTTAAAAAAAATTGGAGGGAAAAAAATCATTTCTCTCTTTCTTTAAATGCTGAATTGAAAAAGGTGCATTATGTTGATTTATAATAAATTAAATACTTATTAAATTATGAAGAATTCTGAATATCTTGAGCATTATCATTAATTAAAAAAAGAAATCGTTAACTAAAAACATTGAAACTGAAACTCACCCTCTCCAGATCTTGTCGTAAGTGAACAAACATCTTCATGCGAGCACTAAGGCTGTCTTTCTGCTGCTTCTGCATCTGGTCCTCTTCCTCCATCTTGGGTGTTATCAATGGCTTGTTATTGTTTACCTACAAATTTTAAGCCAATAAAAACTGATGATCAAAAAAACAACAAGAGTCTATCTCTTGATCTTCCCAACCTTAACCCCCCACCACTTTGAAATACAAATAAAAAAAGTTGCTCAGTTTCCTTAAAAAAAACGGATATTCTGCCATATAAAAATAATATAAAGTTACGGATTTGTGATACAAAATCCTAATGGACTAACAACTTTGAAGTCTAAATTAACCAGCATTTCCTAATCTGACCTAGTGTTTTACAGCATAAAAATACTTGAAAATTAAAAGGTGATCAACAAGTAAAATAAAATTTAAGGTTATGTTTCGTTACAATACTTCCATTTAAAGATAAAGTGAACAAAATAACAATGAAAAAAAAACACGCAATAATATTGAAATAACATTCTTTAGGAAGAAGAATTCAATAAAATTCTAAAAGTAGAAAGATTAAAGCAATATGTGGCAGAGAGAAATCTACAAAATGAGTGGAAAGCTCAAATAAGCCAGACCTGTTTACCCTCAAACTCTTAAAATCGTACATCTTCTCAAAATTGTACAATACAGTATCTTATTAGTAAATAGCTAAACATACAGTATACATAATGTATACAATAACTACTCGCAACTACGGTCCAGTGGAATCGAGTTAAGCTGGCATCAAAAAAGGGAACTGAGGGCAAAAAGTAGATGACTGACGTTTATATTGCAATCTGCGGTCACTTTGTTTTGCTGAGATGTAGCTGCTACAGATATCAATTAATATTTAGGTGAACCTGCAGATCACATTATCACAGTCTGTTACTGGTAAAAAATAAAGTTACTGGAGATATTTAACATGGTTCAAACTCGAAGTCAGATCAGCTAAAATAAAATTTGTTAAAATAATAAGTAATTAATAAATTAAGGTGTCATTTAAATTAAACCTACCAAGTAACTTCAGATTTATTTTTTAGGAAAACCTTTAAAAAATAAGAATCAATATCCAATATGCCTATTTCCTGTTCACATATTCAGCCTGACAAGTATCCCAAGCTGTAAATGGGTGAAAGGAAAGAGGGTATTAAAAATTGTACAGCTGTTTTGTGCGTTCTAAAAAATAGATTTCAAAAGCCCTCTCAGATCCTATAAAATATATCGAAATCTACTATTGCTGCACGGAACAATTAAAAATGCATTCTATAGTTTTCTCCGTTTCTGTACTCTCCGCAGTCAGCCGAAAGAAATAGATGTATTAAAATTACGACATACAGCACCAAAGCAAACAAATGCAAGGAGGGGCCATCTACATAGTATATAAGCAAAAAAAATCAAATTTTCTACCCCCTCCCCCTTTTTTTTGACAATCCCCCTTGCGTATGTTACGATGAGCTTTCAAGTCACCCCAATATTTAAAAAAAATTCAATTATCTTTATATATTTACAATGTTACAGTAAAAAAAGTGTGACAAAGATTTTCACCACTGGCGATTTTGAGAGCCCAGTTATTCCCACAATATACGCAGCATCACGCTGAGTACTCGTTGCCCTTAGGCAGGGCCATAAGAATGAGGCCAAGAGCAGCAGGTGACAAAATCAGGGGGGTTGCCAAAAATCGCCTTTAGGAAGGACCTTCATAGTGAATTAAATTATAAAATCTCATTTACTTGACAAGAGGTGCAATAAATTGTCCTTTTAATTGGGCTGCCTATGTATGTGTGGTGCGTGTATATTTTTTCTATATTGCGAAATATTAAACAATTTTCATAATTTTATTTCCACTTTTAATCCAGTGTGACAACTTTCCATCGTAGTGCAAACAGTAACCCACTTGAGTAACTAGTGTTTGCAGTTACTAGATGGCGCTTGGTGACCAACACATGTTATATTTATTTTTACCCAACCCTCAATTTCAATTTGTTTATGTATTCACTATTTCCAAGTGTACTTGTTAGAATTTCACACACTGAGCCTGGTGAAAACCTAAATTTGGCAAAGGCGCAGGGAAATTAAAATTTTAGAACCAAGCGTAGCCCAACAATTTATACGTCCCACGAACGTGGTATAAACGGTGGACTAAAATTACTTTAATATCTCTACTACTGAGTACTATATAAGTATAGCTACCGAGGTCATTTGTGAAAATACATGGGAAAATCACGAACATAACTCATACTAAACATCGGGTGATATTTTACAACATTCCAAATTTAAAATGCTATTTTTGACCTTTCAGAGTTTCGGGATGAATATGTAGAATTTTTTTAACAGCGCATGTATTTTCTGCCAAGGAAATCCCACTCCCAAGATTATTACGAAAATGTGGCGGTGTTAATTTTATATACTGAAATATTTAGATTCGCCCCATTACACAAAATCTCCTTAGTTAACACCACTCAAACGTAATATAATTATAGATGGTCACCAACCAATTGTATTTGATCCATTCACTGTTGGATGCAGACTGCAAATTAAAACCAACAACCGTAAATGTACTTTTTAATTACCAGCAATTCAATTTTATTTTTTAATGGGGGGGGGGGGGGGGAAGGGAGAGGAGGAATCTACCGGAATGTATAATATTTTCAACCTGGTCTCTTAAAATCGTAGTTCTGACTGGTTTCAGCGTATAATCGTAAATCCTCATCCTCATGTCCCTTAGTCCTTGGACCGTTGGGGCGCCACAGATGACATGTGACCCATCCTCCTCCATTCCTCTCTGTCTTCAGCACTACGCACTGCATCGCCCATTGTTAGTCCTGTCCACTCTTTGATGTTATCCTCCCACCTTTTTCTTTGTCTTCCTCTTCTTCTCCCTCCTCTTGTGGTGCCCTGCAATATTTCTTTGGCAAACCCTTGTTTCCTTGTTACGTGGCCGTACTATTATAATTTGCGTTTTTTCACACTCACCAGTAGGTCATCAAATTTCCCCAATTGCCTGACGAACCCTTTCTTTCACTGTATCATTGGAGATATGGTCCCTATAGCAGATGCCAAAAATGCTTCTGAATCATCTCATCTCCATCGCCTTTATTTTCCTTTCAAGATCAGCTGTTAATGTCCAGGATTCGCAGGCATACAGGAAAATGAAGAGGACTAATGAGTGCATCAGCCTGATTTTGGTGCTGGGGGCAATATTTTTGTCATTCCATATTTTCTTGAGCTTTTTTAGTGCTGTTGTAGTCTGCGCAATATTGGACATCAGTTCGGGCTTTGAACACTATTGCTCCTAGGTATTTGAAGCGGCCGACAGTCTCTAATCTTTCCTCCCCGACCTTAATTTCAGTGGTGATGCCTATGTTATTATTTGTCATCAGTTTTGTCTTTTCGGCACTGATTAGCATGCCGTAGGACGACGAGGTCTTATCGAGGCGCTTTACCAGGTCGGCTAGCTCTTCTTCGTTCCTAGCCAGCACGTCTATGTCATCCGCAAAGCGTAGGTTGGTGATTGTTCTGCCACCAATGCTGACTGTCCCTTCATGCACTTCAAGAGCATCTGACATAATTCTCTATAGGAAGATGTTGAATAGGGTGGGGGAGAGCAGGCAGCCTTGTCGTACTCCAGCCGTGGTCTTGAACCATTCTCAGATGTTGTTGCTGAGGAAGACTGCACTGGTGGCCTTATCATAGAGGTTGCATATCATGCTGGTTAGGTTTGTGTTGATGTTGTAGTGCCTCATAAAAGACATCTCAAAATCATACATTGTACGCCAAAATCGTAAGAGTAAACAGGTCTGCATAAGCACTAAGTTATTTCATTTTACTCTTTAAAAAAAAATTAGTGTGAAATGTCATACCTTTCTCTTGAGTTTCCAGTATTCAGTTACTACATCAACGGCTTCCTCTGGAATAAAGAACTTTTCAGCTATTTCTTGAATGTCAACAAGGTGATAAAAATCATCTTCTATCTGCTGCAACCTTGAGATTTTAAAAACATAAATTAGCCATTTTTAGATCATACTTTGCATGAGTAATCTTTTAACTGAAAAAAGTATTTTAATATTTTTCTTAGTCTGTTGTTGGGGAAAAAAGAAAACCCCAGTCTATACTAAATAAATAAATAAATTAACAATAGCACTTATAGGAAATGCATACTCTATATGACAAACAATTACATCAAAATTATCAAAACCATTTACAAAAATAGTATAATCAAAATGAATCTTTTGGGTTAATCGAACCATGCACTAAATGTATGTCAAACTTACTTTTCCTGTCTTTTTTTTGCCATTTCTGCTTCTGAAACTTCATTTTCTGTGTCAATATTGTCATCTTTTTTAGGAGATTCAGAATCAGATGCGTTTCTGTTCTTAGTGTGTTTGGGACAGAAAGCCTAAGCCAATAGTTAAAAATTACCTTATTTTAAAAGTCAGTTTATGAAACACTCGTAAAAAATTATTTAAGTCAATTATTTTGAAATATGTATAGTAAAATTTAAATGTCAGTAAATGAAAGGCATGCAATGAGTTTATTTTAATGCAATAGAATGACTTTATTTACTTAAATGAAGCAGCATAATGTCTTTACTTTATAATATATCTCCACATTTAATGGTTTAATTATAAACAAAAACTTTAAAAAACAGAAAATAAAAATTGAGAACCATGAAGCACATTTTGAAATAAAAGAAATACTCCCTCACCCTTAAGTGAATGCCATCTGCATCATCAGAGTCGTCAACAATGGTTTTCATGTCCAAATTGTGTGCAAAGCCACAAGTTACATGGAAAGCTGTTTTACATTGTTTCACCGAGCATTGAATACATGCACCGACCCGCTCTTTACACAAATTGCAGACTAATGCCCACCTAGATGGCTGCAAATAACATAAAGTATATATAACACCATTGCTGCACACAAATTAGAACAAAAAAATTGTAATACTTCGTTACCACTATATTATTTTCAGCTTAGTAAATTTAAAAAATGTCAGGATAGTTAGAGTTTTAAAGTTATATTTAGGCCAAGCACATAGTAATGACCTGAGATGGGCAACCATTTAAATTAAGGTAAAGATATCATGAGCTTATGTTTTTTCCTGAAAAAGAAGGCCTCTTTGTAGTGATATTACAATTTTAGTGAAATCCTTTTATTAATAAGATATACGACATTAAGAAGTTAACATTGGTCACTGAATATTAGTATGTACAAAATGTTTTACAGCTTTACTGTCTTATACTTTCTAATTTCATACAATTATATGAATACAACAAGGATTTAAAATCATTAAATTAATTTATTTTAATTCTGAATGTTTTTCTCAAAATAACATTTTGATGAGACCAGTGCCAATGTTTATTCAGGGTTGCTGATACAATGAGGCAGGCAATTAGTTTGAAACTAACCGGAATATTAGAAATTTTTGTGACAGGCTCCATCTTCTCAGGACACCCAATGCTGACTTCTGGGATCCACAAAGCACAACTAACATGAGTCCATTTTGTTCCACTCCTACAAGAAACAAGACTTTTAGCTCTAGTCAATTTGATAAACATTAAAAAAAAGGTTAAACAAAACATAATGTGATTATATGTGAATTAAAAGGGACAGTCTAGTCTTTAAAATTAAAGCTATTTATTTTAAACAGAATTTTTCACACGACCATATTAGATTTTTAAATCTCTAAAAGTACAACTGTAATTAAACTTATGTGTTGTAGATAATTTACAAGTTGGTAAAAAAGAAAATTGTTGATGACTAACTTTGTGGATTTCATTGCGCCACCTCTCTTAGGACACAATAAACACATTGGTTTAATTCCCAAAGCACAAATACGACAGAGCCAGCTTCCTTCAGGTATGGTTTGAATACCGTAACATGCCTAGAAACGGACAATAAAGTAAAATTCAATCACACATACATATTAACACTATACAGTCCAACTTTAGGTAGATGATTACCAACTATAGAGAATTGATCCATTTTAGTACCATGGGCTTTGTGGGTGGGTAATTTTTCTTTTTTTTTTTAGTTTTTATATTTTAACAGTTTGTTTCATTTTCAATTGTTAAATTAGCCTTTAAAAAAATAAAAATTATTACAAAATTTGAGATTACTATTACAAAATTACAAACATTGAAAATTTGGTGTGGAGCACCTCTTGAAAAATAGGCTGAGATTCAAAAAATAAATAATCTTATGGTCACAAAAAAATTAAAATTAGCATTAATAAATTAGCAATTTAAGAAGAAGTTATTTGTTATTCTGAAGAAATGTACCCAGGTGGAAACTCTGATCCTGCAATTTATCCCGATTTGTATATAAATGTATCGCCTAATGCTAATGTAAACATGTTAACTAATTAAATTATATTGTCATTTTCTGCCTTTAAAATTCTTCATTAAAAAATAAAGTAATATTTTTATAATTTTACTTGTCTCAAGTATAATATCCATTTATACATATTTGGCAAGCTGCTACTTAATATTAAAAAGGGTACACACACACACTCTGTGTGTCACTTTGAAAGATGTGAGTAAACCCCAGGCTATAAACTAACACGTAGACACCTAACTAATTTTCAGTCATTTTTTAATTATTGTCTATTCTGTGAGCCAAAATCTTCACACAAATTCAAATGTCAAAACTGCATAATGGTACATAGCAATCAGCAAAATATTCCGAGCCAATACAAACATTGGCTCTTACTCAAAACGTTGCAAAAAATAAACAAGAGCAAAGAAATGAAGTCATCAGTAAACAGCAGCCGGACCACGGCAGAGAAAACAAAAGTACAGGAGAAATATAAAGAAGCCAATGGAAGGGTAAAGAGCAGCATTAAAAAGGATAAAAGAGCTTACATAGATGGTCTAATGTCAACAGAAGAAACAGCCAGAAAAGGGAACGTGAAAGAGCTCTCTTATGTAATAAGAAAGCTCTAAGGAAGATACATGAAGCCAGAGAGACCGGTTAAAGACAAAGAGAAGGAAGGTAGATCAATAACGGAACAAAAAGAACAACAAAAAATGGTTCAATACTTGGAGGAATTATTCAACAGGCTTTCACCCTCAGACACACCAGATATACAACCAGCAAATGAATATCTACAAATAGAAGACAGGACCCTAAAAAAAGGAAGAAATAGTAGAGGCTCTCAATCAAGCTGATTAAAATTGGGAAAGCATCTGGAGCAGATAACACAACATCAGAGATGATGAGAACAGATGTAAATACAATAGTCAAATGCTACACCCTCAATTTGAAAATATATGAGAAAACAGTCCTGCCAACCTGCCAAGAAAAAAAAATCTGTAGGGGCGGTGCATGTTGGTTTAAGATCTGTAAACTAATGCACCAGCCTTTTTTTTTTTTTTTTTATTAAATAAAAAAATAAAAAGGTACCTCCATTGTCTTTGAAGAGTCCAAAAAACATAAAAAAAATTGAAAATATATGAGAAAACAGTCCTGCCAACCTGCCAAGAAAAAAAAATCTGTAGGGGCGGTGCATGTTGGTTTAAGATCTGTAAACTAATGCACCAGCCTTTTTTTTTTTTTTTAGTAAATAAAGAAATATAAAGGTACCTCCATTGTCTTTGAAGAGTCCACAAAACATGAGAAAAACATTACTGGAAATGTTTATGTACAGATATATACAGTACAGAAGATCCATTTTATTACATATTCATATGTACACAGGCTGCTAACTAAGAGTTCAGTTTTCCAGCATATCCCTCTTCAACAGCTCTTTGGACAACTGAAGGTTAGCATTGTAATTGATTTTAGTTACAAGCAAGCTAGAAAGAGTATCAACTTTCATGCTTGCCCTTGTATCACTGCAATTTTTATTAACAATGGAAAAAAATCTTTCAGCATCTGCATTGTTGTGTGGAATGCAGCACACAGCAAGTATAGCTGTAGATAAATGGTTTAATTCTACTTGATCAGTAACAGGATTTTTGTAGGTTCTCAGAAAGTGCCACTTTTTATCTACCGTATCGTCCGATTCCTTGGCAAAAAAATTAGACATGGATGTAGTCGATTCACTGCTTTTAGCTGCAGTTGTATGTTTTTTGGTTAAGATATGTTAATAAATGTCACTTTACCCCCCACTTTCAATAGATAAGTGGGTCTGGCACAGGTTGCAGAATGCAAATGTTTCACCACAGGGTGATGGCCGAATAAATGAGTGTTTTCCCGAATACTCCTTTCGAAAACGTTGAATATGCCGTTTCTTTTTGTTGTTAGGAGCACTATCACTCTCAACCTCGGTCACTGGAAAAGATTTTTCAGCAGTTCTCTTTAAAAATGTATCCTTTTAAAAAAGTAAAGCTTTCACCAAAAAAAGTCACAACACAACTATAAGCCTAGTAAAACTAAGGATAAATCATGATCTGATTAATTGATGAATGAAGAATGGAATTTGCTTCGCTTCGATCAAAACAAAGGAAGTGGCAGTATCGAAATGCACGACTTCCTGTCGGACCCCCCCCCCCACCCCCCGCTTTCGGTTTTTAAAGGGGTTTGTCGGAAGGTCGGAATGGGGGGGGTTGGCAGGTCTGGGAAAAGGAAGTATCAAAACAAAGGAAGGGGCAGTATCGAAATGCACGACTTCCTGTCGGACCCCCCCCCCCACCCCCCGCTTTCGGTTTTTAAAGGGGTTTGTCGGAAGGTCGGAATGGGGGGGGTTGGCAGGTCTGGGAAAAGGAAGAGTTTCAAAACATTGGAAAGAAGGAGACCTTATCAAGGTACCAAAGAAAGGGGATCTTGGCAACTGTGCAAACTACAGAGGAATAACACTGACATGTGCAAACTACAGAGGAATAACACTGCTGTCAGTACCAGAAAAGGTCTTTAACATATTTATTCTGAATAGAATGAAGGACAAGGTCGACACACAACCATCGAAAGGAACTTCCCCCATATGTCTAAATTTCATTGAGGACAAAGGGCCTTTGAAAGTCTGGAGAAACAAATGTGAAAACTTCTACAGCATCATGGAGTACAAGGAAAACTATTCAGGATCATTCAATCATCTTATGAAGAATTGAAATGGTGGTACACAAAGGTAGACTCACAGATGCCTTTAAAGTGGAAACCCTCAGACAATGATGTCTCTTGTCCCCCTTCCTATTCTTCTTTTACATTGACAGGATAATGAAAGAATCCACATACAGAAAGAGAATGTGATGCAGTGGACACCATGGGAACATCTGAATGACCTTGACTTTGTAGATGACACTGCACATCCAACAAACAGCAGCAAATGCAGGAAAAGACAAAAGATTTAGCCACAATTTCAGTACAGCTCAGACTCAATATACGTAATAAAAGCAAGACAGTGATCCTGAAGATATTTTTATTTTTTTTATATTTTTTAAACTGACTTTTAGCATGATTTCTAATAACTGAAGCAAAATAAAATGGTCAAATTCCCTAATTTCAATTTAGGGGTTTAACCTGCCCTAACACATTTTAAAATTTAAAATAAGAAGATTTTTATTCCCTTTCATAGTGTGTGAAATTTTGGTCAAAATAACCATTCTAAAGAAGAAGAAAAAGTACTCCAATATTATGTTATGTATTTTTGAAAACCAAGTAAATAAAATATATATATAGGTCAGGTCATTATATATGTGTGTATATATATATATATATATATATATATACACACACACACATATTTAATATGTATAATTGCTAAGATCAGAGGTGATATATTTAATTTTTTTTTAAATCCCCTTAAGATTTTTAACAAAATTGAAAAAACCCATCAAACTGCTGAGTTAAGTTGAAATTTTGCATGATGATTTTATACAAGATTTAATATTATAAATTTTAATTTGAACTCAAAATGACTCACCTGGTGAACACAAATATCACAGCCATCACAAAATACCATCTCATTGGTGTCTTCACTTTCCAGCTATCAAGATAAAAAAAAGATACAATTATTAGATGTCTTTGATCACATTAGTGTCTATGTTGTACTCCGACAAGTGTTTAATACGTTAAGCTATGAAGGTAAATGTGTGATGAGAAATACAAATTATTCAAATATAACATATTTTTAAAAGAACATTAACTTTTTCCCGGTGGTGCAATGCACAGTACGTTCATCTGCCATGCTAATAAGCACAGACCAATGCTCTATGTTGTTTCAATATCTTGGTTGTTTCTTTGCTATTTTTTGGTTAAACTTTTCAAGAACTATTTTTGAATTAGACTTTTACTTAGAAGAGTGGCACTTCATTGTTAATGAGCGAAAGCAAGGTTTATTTGTTGTCATTTGAAGCATTATTTTATTAATTTTCTTCGCTTTTTATTTTATTTTGTTTCAATCAATACAGTTGCTATGGTTACCTTAGGCCCTAGTAGGGTGAGTAAGTTTCCTAGACGATTAACAGCTCAAAATATGTTTTATATTATTTATAGTGAAGTTGATTTAGATTTAGATGCACCGCATGTTTCTGATAGTAGTAGTTTTAGATGATGTGAGTTATTGCAGTGAAGTTGATGTGTGCCTACATCAAAGGGTTTGGTGAAAAAAAGTTTTTGCATATTATTTTTTAACATTTTAAGTTTCTTTTCTGTTATTTTAGTTAAAATGAAGAAATAAGTTTAAAAGCATATAGTCCATTCAATTATCTTTCATTTGATAAAAAATTTAGCCTTATAAACCAAACAATAATATTTTTAAAACTTTTTAATAACCAAACCTCACACTCTTTTTTTTTGTTCTTTGAAAAAATGTAAAATGTTTTATTAAAAAAATTCTGCATTGAAAGAGTTGAAGCTATTCTAAATTAACCACATTAATTCCATCTATGTCCTCACCAATACATCAGACCATAGCTATTTTTAAGACCTTTTTTCCTGTCTTATAACTATAGGCCCAGAAAGTCCTTATAGCCATTGGCTCATTTAATAAGAGAAATATAATTACTCTTAAATGTGATGGTTTACTTCATAATGAAACAAAGTGTAACCAATAGCAATCTAAGTTTTAAAAAAAATAATTAATAGATTATTAATGGAGTTAAAAAAAAAAAAACTATAGCAACACTGAACCAGCATGTTTATAATAATTTCTTTAAAAATGTAACAATAAAATTGTAATATTTCTCAAGTCCCGTTATGCTGTCAACAGCAGTAGCAGCATGACAAAATATTTATCAGCATAAATAAATAAAACGGAAAGTTTTAAATTGTTTATATTGACTTACCATCCTACAGACATCACATGCAACATCTTCATCATACTCAATACCAAGTCCCTCTTCTGTTTTCTTTAAAGCATTGGTTTTAACATAACACTAACAAAAACAAGAAATTAATAATTAGATAAAATTAGTGTAAACATAACATATATCGTAGGCATATAGTACTTGACTTACTGTGAAAATTATTAGAAATGTAAAAGATAATTGATCATATCAATCCATACATTATCTACAAAGAAATAAATTTGTGACAACTTATAGTTAGAAGAAAAAAAAACATTTCAAGATATTAACATTAACACTAGAAGTAACCACCAAGGATTGTTATTGGTACCTGATTCTCTAGCTCTTCTATCATTCTTTCCATGTTCCACTCATTTATCAACTGGAGTCCTGCAAACAAACAAAAATTATCATATTCACTTTCAATTTTAAAAAAAGGACACAGAAGAGCTAAAAACTGAAATTTATTTATTATTAAAGTAAGTTGTTTTATGTAGTGTAAAATATTGGACTAGAAGTTGTTCTTTCAATGCAATTTTTATCTGCCAATTTTTACGCCCGACACGGTACTGGAAGAGGAAATCAGCAGATTTTATCGGCAGACCACAGTTAAATTAACAGAAACAACAGGAATAATAATTTACTAGTGGAAGTTATTGGATGTCTTTATATTAATATTGTATACAACAGAAAAAGTACTACAGGAAAAATCATGAATGATTATATGGAATAAAAAGCATTTGTTCCAAGATTTGGCAAATATGTATTCCCAAAAAACTCGGATTTAGTATCATGTGAAAATGTCTACGCAGTTGTTTGCTAGGCTGTAGCGCCATTGATGACAATGATTAATGTGAATATAAGTTAGAAAGGTAAACATTACAAAGCTCCAACACACGTAAAGCAAAGCTAATTCTGTAATTAAACGTATCAGGGCTCACGCTTACCCATTTCTTCTCTGTCCTGGTTAACTAGTTCTAGCCAAGTGACATCCTGATCATCAAGATCATATCGAACAATCTGTTCAGCTAACTCTTGCATACCAGTTAGCTCATGATGGCTTTGCTGATAAGTTTCATCAATCTTCTCATGAAGGTACTTGCGGAGTGGCCTGAGTTGAAATGAAATTACCTTGTTTTAAAAGAGCATTTGCAAAACTAATGTATAATACAAATTTTGAACTGCCTTTAATTGATTTGCAATTATTTCAAATTTTTAAAACAAATTAATGTAATTAAATGCCAAAAATTATTTAATACAGTGTTTCCCATTGTTTTCTATACTCTGCACCCTGTATTTGTCTAGTCTTGGGACCCATGCCAATAGATTTATTAAATCTTTATTTGATGTTTTGATTGCAACGAGAGCTGTAGAAATTTGATTTTAAACTGGATAATGTTAGTGAAATTTTTTTTTAAAACCATAACATCAACTTAAAAGCTAATGTTATTTCTTTTCATATATTGTATGTTTCTCTCACCCCTTAAATTCCACCCCAAACCCTCTGGGGTGCGTGCTGGTTGGGAAACCCTGATTAAATAGAAATCAGACATTCTAAACTGAATCTGTAAGTTGCAAGATGTCATTTATTATTATAGCAAATAGTAAGCAAAATTATTGCAATTTGTTTTATTAAGAAAAAACAAGTTTATAGAATATTTCCATCTCCAATATCATGAACAATCACTGTAGCAGGAAAATAATTCCAGATGAAGTTAAGCTAATTAAATACAGAACAATGTGCAATGCTATTATTGGTTTTAATGCAAAAGGGATTTAGAGATAAACTTACAGTTTAAAATCTCCATTCTTTTGCTGCTTTTTATTTTCCCTGTGGAATTATCGAATATTGTTTAGAATAATTTTTTTGTGTGGTTTTATTTAGAAATTATTTTGATGGCTGAACCACTATAAAAACAATTATGCTTATAAATAAGAAGCACTCTTTAACTGATAGCAAAAAGATACAAGTACAGATTGTCTAATCCAATAGCATTTTCGCATTGTTATGATTTCATTTTGCTACCTCATAATATTGGAAAAATTACATTGAGAAATATATTCACTTAGGATTACTTCAGTTCCAAACCTTAAAGAAAATAACTTTTGGCACTGAGCATAATAAAGTTATGAATTTCAGGAAAGCAACATGTTAAAAAAGGGTACAAATGATCACATAAGAAATATGTTTACTTCAATAAATAGCGTTTCTTACTCACTTAATACATGAAGGAGGAATTTCCTCTTCATTAACAGGAACCTGCACTCCCTTTTCCCACTCTTGTCGCCAAGGATCTGATATTACAAGATACTCGCTCTCATAGAGAATCTCAGTATCTGCCAGTTTCATTGCACTGATAAGATCTTTCCGGAAAAGCTATGGAAATACAAACAACAGGCAATTAGACACAAAAGGTATCATGTAAAACAATATTTATTTATGATCTTAAACAAGATATAATTTGACTCTGAACCATATTCACATTAACAATTCATTAATGTTTAATGTAAATTTACTTGCACTATGCCCATTAGTGAAAAAAATCCAAAGTATTACTTTTAAAAATATGATAGCTGTTAAAAAATAACTACAAATATAATAATGAAAGCAAAATCCTATTTTTAGCTTTGATTATTGAGGTTGATTTTTTTACAATTAAAATTAACATTTCATTTGTAATTTTTTACTATGGGCTGTGTGTGACCCCACATTCTTTGACCCATTTCTACTGTTTATGTATTGCACATGCAACATATTATTACATATGGCTTATGATCAGCAACCTTTAACTTTGTTTTATAATTTTCCACGACAGCTTTAAATTATCTTATTATTTAATAAAGTTTGTGTTATTCAGTGTTATTAAATGAAACGATCTGTCAGTGTTGACATGAAGGGTGATGAAAGAGTGAAACTAAATGGCATGTTGTGTGCAATCAAACATTGTCATTTATAACTAGTTATAGCGCCTGCCCTAGATAACCTAGGACAATGAAAAATTGGGAATGCTGATTTTTAAATGTAAGGGCAAATTAAAATAGAGAAAAGAGAAACTCAACAAATATATTCTTTTATTTTAACAGCTAGATGTTTTCTATTAAATTTACAAAATGAAGTCAGCGGTAATGATACCCATTTCCTGTACAAAGTGTCCAGTCTTCTTTGGTATGGTAATTAATGACACCATTAAAAAAAACAGTTATTTTTATTTCTTACCTCAGCTGGTTTGTTGTGGCCTGTGTTTAATCCACTAGCTTTACTAATAATGTTGGGACTTCGCTTACTCATCTTTCCTTGTTTAGACATTTTAGAACCTAAGCAGAAGTTTTAAAAGCATTAGCAGGTATTATTTGAATTAATAATTAATGTAATAAAATGTTATAAGCTACAAATAAGCTAAAAACTGTTAGCAACAATAAACTACTTAGTTTTAACATACTTTGACTCTTTCCCTTTCTCATCACTGGCTGCTCATCTTCATCACTGCTGTATTTATCCCTCTTAGATGACCCAGGTTCTGACAGAAGAACAGATATTGGAATAAAAAAATTAGATTTAATGACCAAATTATTTGCCTGAACAAGATTAAATGTACTAATGGCTGTGGACTAAAAGTTTAAAGACTTAGATTTCATTTATCAAAAGTTAAATTCACTTTTGAAGCTACACATTTTAGATATTTTTTTTGTTACGTTTCAGTAATCCTTGTCTGTAAAGGTTTTATTCATTGTTTGTATCATTAAAAAAATATCAGCCATCCCAATTCCCCCACATCCATTCCATGACAGATTGCCTTTTATCTAGCTGTTGCAGATTTGCCTCCTCATCATTTATGTCAATCCCTGTTCACCATCAGTCATTTATTTTTGGTTTCTGGTGGTATATCACTTTCATTGTTGCTGTGATCTGAATACTTTTTGGTTACCTCATACTGTCATACTGCAAAGTCTGCCTTACTTAGCTGCCACTTATTCCACTGGATCTATGTATTAAACTTACCCAGTGCTTTATTTTAATATCTGTATAACAAAGAAATGTCAAATAATAAATCTTAAATAGTTACACTTACCAGGGCTGTCATCTTGTTTTCCTGAAACTTTCTTTGTGCCTTTGGTAAGAGGCATTTTGAAAGAGATCTGTGTACACCAATACCAGCAACAGGTACATGCACTTACACAGTTTGATGTACTTTAGTTGCTATCATCAATATCAGGGTTGGATATTTCTGATTCTAAATATCAAATAAGAAAGCCCCTTTATTTAAACAACAATGTAATTTTAAGATTTTTAAATGGTGAAAGTTAGGATTAAGAGCTAAATGTGAAAATAAAGACATTTTAACACTATATCTGTCAATTATTGCTCAGTGGCGTCAAGACGTTTTCAGCATATTCATATCATGTCATATGCTTGTTTAAAATTTCATACAAAATGAGTTCAGATACCCTTAAATGTATATATTTTCTGAAAGTACATGGGCATGGGATAAGGAATCAAATGAAAATGGCGCAATATGAAAAATAATTTGAATTAGTTTTTTATCATGTAAGTTGATTTTGATCTTGACCTTTACACCAGCATTCAATTTACCCAAATCTACAGAACTGGTTATACTGGAACTCAAAATAAATATAGTCTCAGAATGATACTTTTCCATCTCAAAATCATACAATACTGTATTGTAATGGTATATAAATAAACAGTAAATAGTATAATGTATACAATAACTATTCATATCGCATATCTAATAAAGGCATAAAGAATAACGGTCACTCCTCAAAGTAGATGACTGAAATTTATATACAGTGCATTTTTGCAAATTTATTTTTATTATTGCATTTGCCACTTTGATAGACAAAGAAGTGGTGGGGGGAGCAGAAATTGAGAATGCCTGCCAAAATCACCTGAGCTTAACTGGGGTAGGGGTGGCGATGAGTCCCCTTACCAGAAATGTGTTTATAGATTCAAAATGCAGGGATTCACTTTTAAGAATACCTGAATATAGTTTTGCATCATTCTACACTTAATAAGATTGTGGAAAATTAGGTTTCCTTTACCTAGCTATATTTAACTGTCTTATAATATATTACTTATTTCAATATATTTTTTATCAGTCCAAAAAAGGGGAAGGTACACAACATGGCGCACACAACCACACACAAAATGTCTATGTATTTCAAATGTGCGTTTATGCCAAAAAATGAAAAGGCAGTGTCTACACGTCCGACGCGCCGGAGGTATATCTCCCGCACTATTTGTCCGGCGACCAAGTCACATGACCGCCGTAACAAAGTGGCGAGAGATATCTTGTTGGTCAGCCTTGTCCCGTGACTGCGAATGATTCAAAACTATTGTTAATTTTAAAATCTATTTCTCTACCAAGTAATGTACTGAGTATCTTGAATGCAAATAATAGAAAAAACTTAAGTGAAAGTGGCTTGTAAACATTTTTGTTTAGTTTGTTATTTGAGTTTGTGCACCAGTAATCCATAAAATAAATTAGGGGCCAGTGTGGAGTAGGCAACCAATAAAAGTAAAAGATTTCATTTTAAATTGTTACAAAATATTTAAAAACTTCTCATGAAACTACTGTTGCTGATGAACATAATATAAATATAATATAGTATAAAATATTTTACATTAAAATGGGAGTAAAATAACGATCCTTTCCCCGGTATTGATCCTCACATCATAATATCGTCAAGCGACCACTCTACCACTAGACCTCACAAGATCTACCAAACTGTACTTCGTTTGGAATTATAAAAATACCAGCCGTCCGGCGGTCTTGTGACATACAGCCGACGTATATCTTGCACACTATTTGTCCGGCGCGCCGGACGTGCAGACACTTCGAAATGAAAATGGTCAATCCATTGATCGTGGGCCCTCAAAATATAGAAGAAGAAAATAATCGCTAATTGGTAAATCGGTTATGAAAAATGTGCTGTTCCGGTTTGGAGTGCTATTTAAAGGTTTATTTGATTTTTGTTAACAGTACAATGGAGACTGCCTCTAGTTTTTCAGTGGCTTGGAAAGAAAGAGTGGGTGCCAGAACAACGTGTGATCATGTTACAAGAGTTCATAGCTTACAGGCTCACTTATTGTACCAGATGGATAGGTGGCTTAAAACATAAACCAAATTATACAAAGAATCTAGGAACACTAAATTTTTCCTCAAAAAAATTTTGACAATTAAAATGACGCTCGTGTCTATACACAGACTGTTGAAAATATATGGATGCACACAAAGCACAAAATGGAAACAGTTTGGCACAAGCGATATATTTGCATGACTTCATGTCTCACAATTGTTTGCATTGAAATGATTTAAACTCAGAGCAGACAAACTCTGTTTTATTTTCATACGACATTAAACTGTTTAAATTTTTCTATTCGAAAAATTATTAAATTGTTTACACTTTTCTATTTTAGCCTATAGCCTATGTCACTATATACTGTACAAAACATTTCCATTAAATTTATTTGGATGAATTATTATAAATTATAATTACAATGAATATTAAATGAATTTTATCTATTCAATAAAACAGTAACCATTTGAATAGCACTTCCAACCAGAGTAAAATTATTTGTTCATAACCGACATTTAAGTCTAAGTGGTAGAGTACCGCTACTTGAATGAAGAAATAAGTTTATTTGTGATACAATAAAACATCAGGCAAGCCACAATATTTACTATAAACTATAAACTAGTTTGATTAGTAAGAAATAGGTGGCTCCCTATATAACATATGACATAGCCTGTATAGAATTAAATTCCAGAAAGGGCTCAGTGAGACAAAAAGGTTGGGAACCACTTGGTTTAAGACACTGTTATTTACACATGACCCTGCTTGACACCACTGGCCTCATTGACTTATTAAGTATTGGGTCGTTAGTACTATCTGATATTTGGGAGGAAACACAGGCACACAAGCCTTGAAATTAGGCCAACTTGAGTTCATTCAAATTCACTTCCGAAACTAAAAGTTCATGTGTTTTTTTTATGTTTCAGTTATTTTATACTATTAAAGACTAACTGCATGAAAAGTATTATAAAGAAATATGGTTGAAAAATCCTCCTAAAGTAAAAGTTCTAGAAGCTGTAGGCGTAGGCCTAGGAAAGGGTTCCAGCTTCATCATCATTTTAATTTTATATTTATAAATATCCAGCTGAGATAGTTCTACAAGAAAGCGACCATTGAAATGTAAAGATTAACTACCATATAAATTAAAATGAACATATAAGCTATCCACGGCTAAATAAAGTGGTTTGAGCAATAATCAACTTATAAAATGATGCAAATATGTTACTTTTAACCATTTTCACAACAAAACTATGCAATGTTTGGCGCCATGATGGCGAATTTCATTCCATGTCACGTGATCAAAGGGGGGTTAAAAAAACACTAACGTATTGTTTAAACCCAAACTTCTTTCTATATACAAGAGCTAAATAAGAGTTAGTTAAGAAAAATACAATTTATTATTTTTTCAGTTCCAATTATAGCAAAATTTGGTAAAATATTGAAAATGAAGTTGCAAAAAAAATATATAAATTATGACCAACTTCAATTTTTAGAGTTTTGTGCCGTTGTTTCTTTTTGATCTGTGATTTATAATATATTTATTTAAAAATTGATCCCAAATAATACACAAAACAATATTAGAAATCATTTTTTAAACAAAAATATAACACCCACGAAAAACAAAGTTTTGCGTATAAATCCTTTATATTCATTTTTGCAACTTAGCGATGTTCTTACGAAATCATTGCACAACATTCCAACGAGTCTTGGCCAAGGCCAAGTTTCAGCTCGATCGATGTCGGGAAGTGGGTCAATTAGCCTTCCGAAGATTTTGCAAGAAAGTAACAACGAACAAAAGAAAGGTATATTTTTTTGGGGGGGGGGGGGGGCTGAAAAATTTGGTAAAACATGCATTACAACTAACGCACTTTATAAGAATCCCAATTAGTTAACCCCCCCCCCCTTTTCCCCATCCTTTCAGGGCTCGCAATCGCACATTTTACACACCTTTGAACTACATTAATATGTTGCAGTGATGTCCCACTCATTTTTACACCGCAAATTTACTTCACCAGCAATTCAGAAAATCAAAACCAAATATTACGCACTTGCGATATTTTTAAGAATATCATTTAGTGCAGTTGTCTGGAATATTATTTCGTGAGCTTGGTTAGCATCATCTTCCCTTTGAAAAACACCAGGAACTGATTTTTGTGGGTTTGGGTGAAAATTTGATAGAATGTGTTGTCATCGGCATCAAGTCTATGTGCCAAGTTTCATCTCGATAGCATGACGCGAAGTGGGTCAGCTAGTTGTACAAAGATTTGGCCTTGAACAAACACACGATCAAAAGCGAAGTTACTTAAAAGAATTTAAAAATAAGCACACAATCTGAAGCAGAAGAAACACTTTTAGGTTAAAATGTTTCCACCTTTGTGAATTAACAATTCTTTTTTTTTTATTATTATTATTTGTTATTCTATTGTAATGCCCTTGTAAAAATAAATTAAAAGGGTAGTATGTAACTTGAAGCAACACAAAGCTTGAAAGTAACAATCCGAGTAATAAATTACCATTAAGTGGGATAAATGAACAATGATCTAAAATGGGACATTTTAAAAATAGTAATAACTTATAGGAAATAAATAATGCAAAACTTAAAAGATATTAAGTATTAAAATTATGTAGGCTAAACAATTGATAAAAAAATAGTTTAACTTATTGCGTCAATTTAAGCCTAAATATCCCAAAATGTTGAAGTTGGAGACCTATGATCAATAACAATAATCAAAATCACACAATTTACAACTAGCGATAAAATAATTAAGTTGGTAAGCAAAATTTCCCAAATTGTAAATTTGCACTGGATGCACGTTCCCTTTCATTTAATTTTTTTTTTAAGGCTCGCGTTTATGAGGTAATATATAATAATATATAATATGCATACGATAAATTAAGTATGCCGACAAGAAGCATGATAATTTGTTTAAAGTATCCCATTTAATTCAAATGATGTTGACTTCTTTCTGTAACAAATTAATTCTCCACAGATCTGTATTGTCATATATCCCAGTTTTTTTGTTTTTGTTTTTTTTTTTGAAAAAACATTCGTCACCCACAAAAAGAAAGATTTAATAGAAACAGACAATATATGACATCCATTTTGTTGAATACGGATCTTTTGAATGGTCGGTAACGAAAATGACCATTTTATATACACTAAACATTAAACCATATGATCACCGGATACCGCAATATTTTTTATGATATGTTTATAGATGAATTCGTGAAATTCCCATTAACAACCGTTTCCGTGGATTTGACCAGAATATGCTGAACATTTGGGTAAAATTAACTAGAAACCTCGCCGATCATAAGACATTACGCTAACCAACAGAAATATATTTTTTGTAGAATAAATATACGTTACGTTAACGTTTTGGTAAGACAATGATCTCCTTCCTATAGTGTTGTTCATGTTAATCTACCGGAGTCTCTTCAGTGTCACAGAAAAAATGAGTACTGGAAATGACCATGGGAACCATTGCACAAATCTATTTTAAAAATAAAATTTAAAAAATTGAGGCTAAATGACTGCATTGTATTCAGTTGTAGGCTCACATGAATCTGGTACACCCAAAGGCCCAACGCTGATCTTTCACTACAGAATAACGTCACTCCAGAGCAGACCTGCACAACTCAAAATGTAAGGCGGGCCGTAAAACTTTATGAAAAACTTGTGCGGGCCAAAAGAAAATAGGACAGAACATGTAAGGGCAAAAAAAAAAAAAAAAAAAAAAAAAAAATGTGAGGGACAAAAAAAAAAAGGAAAAAAAAAATAAAGGAAAAAAAAAAAAAAAAAAAAAAAAATTGGACAAGGGGAAAGCTTTTAAGAAAATAATAAAATTCATAAAAATAAAGAATATTTCGTTACTTCGCGGGCCGCAAAGTGGGTGCTGGCGGGCCGTATGTTATGTAGGCCTGGTCTAGAGAATTTGGCGTTGTCTATAACAGAGTCTTGAACATTGGACAATAATATTTTTATATTCCAGCTATAACCTAAGGAAACGACGGAGAATATATACATTCCACCGTATGCATGTATCCCCAGTTCATCCATCCTTGAGACAGAGAGGGGGGCATGGGCACCCGCAAGGGGGGGCAAGGGGGGCACTTGCCCCTCTGGATTGATTGGATAAAAAAGTTTTAGACAAAAATAGACAAAAAATGTATTAAAGTAAAGAGAAAATAAAGAGAAAGTAACTAAGCTGATGTCCTGTCAGTTCGTTCACCATACAATTACGCTACAGTAAATTAAAACTACATTAAAACATTACTAAAAAGATTTTACCCCCCCCCCTAGAAAGTTTTCTGTGGGCGCCCATGGGGGAGGGGGGGTTAGAATGGTTTGACCATTCACTTCAAAGGGATCTTGGTTCAAAAATACCACTAGGATTTACAACAACAAAAATACAATTGAATCACGAGGCGAATAAAACGATGGTCCACGGGAGTATTACCTCGGTCCTTGTTACAATGATGGTCCACGGGAGTATTACCTCGGTCCTTGTTACAATGATGGTCCACAAGAGTATTACCTCGGTCCTTGTTTCAATTACATGTTGATATTTGAACAACTCATAATAATATTTCTTAATCCATTATTCTTGTTGTCAAGGTAATTTCGTTGGACCCAGTGGCTTCTCGACTTCACATAATGTATGTACATTTATGGCTAGTTAGACCTAAAATGTACAGTTCGTCAACGTCCGTTAAAAAGAGAGAAATCGTCCTTTTAAGGGTTTGGAAACGAAACGCATCTAGAATGATCAATCTTTGAATTTTGAAAATGTTTTGTTATTTTTACTTACTGTTTTAAACGTATACTCATATGATCTTAAGTCTTAATCGTCATCTGGAGCAAGTTAACACTAATGAGGATGGCCTACAACGGATACACTACTTATACTTTGAGTGTTTTGATTAATATGACATAGATTTATGGACTTAATTAAGACTTAATATGATATACTCATACGCTACTAAAGCAGTCATTTTTTTTATTTTTTTTTTATCTTTTTTTTTTTGGTCGCTTATTCACTGATCCAAGATGTGAGCATGCTCCTTTTATTTTTTTCATCGCCGTTTTCGTCAAAAGCCGAGAGTCCCCCAAAGTCCTCCCGCTGATGATTGGAACCATAGGAAATGTTTCAGACTTATTTCCCTTTCTTGTTCGTTTCTCCCACTAATTCTCTAACTTGTGATCTAACCGTATGGAGATGTTGTGATCATGTGATGTCCACATCGTCATTACAGTACGTTCCAAAGAAAATCAAGACGCTGCATTTTTTTTTCGCCATTTCTATAAACTAAATACATAATAATAAATTAATTCATTAAAAATTTTTAAAAAAATTATGGGATCCCTTGTCACGAGATGATTGCCTTTATGTTAACCCGGCACTGAACTTGGCCCTATATTTGACTCAAATTTTACTAGTCATTGTTGACGCATTACCGATAGCTAAATGCCATGGATGAATACATTTCAATTTTGTCCCTTTTTGTGACCTTAGGCAATATTGTATTTTAGCACATTTTGGTTATTGTAAATTGAATTGATTTGAAAAGCACTAATCTTTGCACCAGTTTACTTCTTAAGTAATGATTTATACAGGGGCAATCCATATATTACGTCAGCTACGCACTGGGGGTAGAGGGGTTGTTGATTTTGGAAATTTTGCTTACAGGTGCCTATAAGGTGTGTGTGTGTAAAGGGGGGGTGTCTATGCGCAAACTCTGCAATAATTATCCTGACATTCTGGTAGTCGTCCATTTTAAATATTCGCTTGTTTTTTTTCCTGTCTTTTTTAAATTCAAATGAAATAATATATGTGCAATGTGCATAAAAATTCGTTATTTTATGTTTAAATGTTTAGCCCTCAACAGTACCCGAGGGACGGTTAACCAGCCCCCTATTTAAAAAAGTTTGAGAACCCCTAATTTAAAGCAGAGTGCTAAAACTTTTAGTCATGCCCGATTTCTTTACATGCAACTCGTTACGCATTCTGAACAAACAACAAAACAAAAAAGAAATCAGTTGGCTTGGGGAGTATGTTAATATTATCAGAATCGGAGGTATTGAGAGCTAGATGGTAGGCTTGAGAGCTGGGTGGGAGGCATTGAGAGCTGGAGGGGAGGCTTGAGAGCTGGAGGGGAGGCATTGAGAGGTAGATGGTAGGCTTGAGAGCTGGGTGGGAGGCATTGAGAGCTGGAGGGGAGGCATTGAGAGCTGGAGGGGAGGCATTGAGAGCTGGAGGGGAGGCATTGAGAGCTGGAGGGGAGGCATTGA